TTACCCCACATGAGAATCCCGTAGGACATTATACTATGGAAGTAACTAAAGTAAACTAGTCTAGCAGTACTAACATCGGTAAGCTCACGTATTCTGCGGACTGCGTATGCAGCGGAGCTTAATCTGCTGGCCAGAGACGATATATGTGGATGTGAGCATTACTGCGTTCCGGTTTTGAAGGGTGCTGGTGAAATTACACACATTGGACTTGTCAACTTGCATCTCAGGGTGACAGGCGCAGTGTTAGAGCCCCGTAGGTCTTTGCGATTTAAAGCTCTGAATGGCACTGCAACTGTAATGGACAGGCGTATACCTCCACCAGGCACACGACTTGTTCGTCTTGTGACTTGATATTATAAGAAGAAATAAGTATGGTAACTGCGTAAAAACGTAGCAGCGCAGCATGTATGTGTGCATGCGCACCGCGCTCCATATACGGACGCACACATTTGCACAATCTCGCAGTGCATTCGCGTTGCACAGCGATGGTCGTCTCACGCGCCATTAATTATAGAAGTAAAACTATCTCTCGGTGTTTATAAAATGACATCAAATGGTAGACGTGTTTAGAGATGGGTAGTGAGTTATAACCCAATCAATCCTGCCGGGTCTTAACTGGGTTTTTAAGCCATTTCTGCCCAAAATCCTAAAACTGTCGATCGAGTCTTCGTGTAGTTCTAGGTACACGTGTTAACTTTCTGACTTCACTTGCTATCTAGAGGCCTATTGTTAATTCTCTTTCAAATGTATAGTTACGAATGTATTCAAATGTATATTTAAAAGACCAACCCCAAGAGTTTCTGCTCATTCTTCTCAGGGGAATATGCCTTACGAATGAGGAGTAGAGTTTCAATTTTCAATTTCAATTGTTTATTGCATATCACATTACAAATTTAAGATGGAACATTAATTGATGTGACGCCCTGCAAGGGCACAACAACATCTGCGGTCTAAATTCATAAATCACACTGTTTAATTATATTTAATTATTACATTACAATATAATATCATAACATTACATTATTATATACATTATTACATTGCTTGCGTTATAATAATGCGCTATGCGTTATTATTCTAAGAATTAGAATAATAACGCATAGAATGATAGTTTCATATCAAACGAACTGTCACAAGTTAGGCAAAAATCAAATTCATGTAGGTTAGTTTTAGTAGTAGGTTAATTTTCGGTTTTAGTGAATATTTATATAAAAATACAAGTTGAAACGCGTTACTTCCTTGTGGAATGTGATGTTAGTATCTATTTTATGTTTGTCTGACGTATTTTTACACTCATTTACCGCACATTTCGTCTTTTTAGCTAAAATTCTTGATCTGTACGCGGTGCAAGTTGACCTTGAGCACTGAAGGCCTGCCCGCTCGTGTAGGCCCTTTTGGCGCGCTTCAATTTGCCTCACTTAGCGTGTACGGACTAGGTTTCTATGCGTTATTATTCTAAGATTGCATTATTCTTAATTAGAAAACTTACTTTATACAATACATTAATTTCAATAATTATTAATAAGAGATGTCGAAGTATTTTTATTTCTATTATTATTGTTATTTGTCATCATACGTATCGTCAAAAAATTCATGTAAGTCATAATAACATTTATTAACAAGAAATGCCTTTAGTTCTTTAGTAAACTGTGTAAGTCTTTCCAGGTTTTTGATATAATTTGGTATGTGGTTATATAGGTATTCTAATTAACATGGTGTGCGGGCCAGACGTAACTAATTACATTTTGATCAGTATGATGATTTCATTTACAATTTGCATACCTATGAAATAAAGAATGATTGAAGTGAAATATTCTATATTGCACATTTATTTTACATTGACAACACAGACCAGTAATGTAAGACCACAGTAAGCTAATGTACAACAGGCGGCCATATTGCTAAGCAATTTCTTCCACCTTAAAGATGATTTAAGATTTAAGATGAAAGATGATAATTTCTAATTATGACATGAAAACGAGTCAGACAGTTAAAACGTATACCTAGAATTACACGATGAGTCCATGCAGTTATAATGTGTACATTGACTTACAATTATATGGACGTCGGGTCCGCGCTAAAAAGTGTCCGAACTTATAGGCCGTTAAAATCGTATACAGAGCGTCATTCACGCTTTAGTCTTCGTTTGTTCGACTGACAGCGAAGCAAGCAAAATTAGACAGTACTGCGATGACATTA